GAATCATAACAAGAGAAACTATACAACATATATATATATATATACATAAACCAAATTTTCAATATAGTAGAGAGTATGTACAATCTTAACACCCAAACATATAACAAAAAAAAAAACCTCCTCTCTACAACTCAACACACACTAATAATAAACCCTATACACCCAACTCACCCCTAACACAACAAACCAACCAACCAGAAACAACAAAAGATCAATTACTATAACCTAAGATAACCTATATTAAACTTCAAGAACCACAAAAATAACAAAAACCAATAAAACACCATCAACACCACCCAATCCCCCCCTTAAACAACACAAAACCAACACCACCCCCCCCCCCTAATAGAGAAGATAGAACTATCACTCTATCATCTCTCATCTCAAATCTAAACCCCTCGCATCCACCATCTCTAAACCACTTATAACTCACTCAGTTCACCCCAACACCAACAAATCCACAACCTCAAAAACTATCCTACCACCCCAACCCCACAAAATTCCCTACAAAAAAACTATTTACCATTCCATGAGTATATGCATATACTAATAAATAAATTAATTACCATCTCTAAACTTAATATTCTCTCGCTCTCTACGCTCACGACAGGATATATAGTACTGAGTTATCTCCTGTCTCTAACTCTAATATCTACTCTCACTCTATCTCTCTACATCTTCAATTCACAACGCTCTCATCTCATACACACTCTCTCTTATTTCCTTCTTATTTTCTTTCTTTTCTTTTCTTCCTCTTTCCTCAAAACAATAAAACACCCACTATCCAACCTTCTCCCCTCCCGCATATAGCTCCCCTCTTGTTATTTAATTTGATATGATGTTTTGGTTCTTTAACAAAAAACCCCTCTTCCCACAACCTTTCGATCGCTTCGCTCACTCTTTGCTCTCCTAGCGCCCCCCCCTCTGTGTAGATAGAGAAAGAAGAGAAGAGAGAAAGAAAGAAAGGAAGACGAAGAGAAAGAAGAAGAAGAGAGAAGAAGAAAGAAGAAAGAAAGAAGAAGAAGAAGAAAGAAGAGAAAGAAAGAAAGAGAAAGAAAAGAAAGAAAAGAAAAGTAAGAGAAAGAAAGAAGAAGAGAAGAAAGAAGAAGAAGAAAGAAAAGAAAGAAGAAGAAAGAGAGAAAGAAGGAAAAGAAAAGAAAAGAAGAGAAAGAAGAGAAGAAGAAGAAGAAGAAGAGAAGGAAAAGAAGAAGAGAAAAGCAGAAGAAGAAGAACAGAGAGGGAGAAAAAGCAGGGAGGGCGGAGGGAGGTTGGGGGAACCTGGGAAGAGGCGGAGGGGGCGGGGAAGCAAGAGGCAAAAGAGAATAAGAGCAGAGCTAGAGCAGCAAGCAGAGTAGCAGGGAAGCTGAAGTAGCAGCTGAGGCGCAGCAACAGCTAGCAGATGATTGAGAGCATGCAAGCGCAGGGAGCAGGCAAGGCGTAGGGGAAAGAGGGGGAGAGATCAGGGAAGAGCAAGAGGAAGCAGAGGGAGAGTGGGAGGAAAGAAAGAGAGAGAGTAAGGGAGGAGATAAGAAGAAAGAAGAAGAAAGAAGAAGAAGAAGAAGTAAATAGAACGCGGACACTGGACCCCCCACACCTCCCCGAGGATAGTAGGTAAGAGGCGCAGGGTGCGCCCCTCGACTCAGGGATCCTCCCAGGACTGAGATCATTGAACCGATTGGCCCCCCCCCACCCCCCCCCCCCCCCCAGGGCCCCCCCCTTACCTCTCTCTCCTCTTTCTACTTTGTACTTCTTGAGCTATTTTGTCCTCCCCCCCTCCTGGGTCCTTCTCTTCCGGGGGCTCTATTACGACCAGCTCTCTTTGAAGGATAGGGGAGAAGAAGAAAAAAGAACTAATTTTATGCCCCCGCCTCCTTTGCAGATGGGGAAAAGGGGGAGGAGGAAAAGGAAGGAAACAGAGGGGAGGGAGGAGGGGGGGAGGGGGAAGGGAAGGAAGGTAAGGAAAAGGAAACACGGGGAGGCAAAAAAGGGAGACAGGAGGGAAGGAAAGAAACATGGCCCAGAGGGCCCACCCCAGAGGAGGCAGACCCCCAGCCCCCAGGCCACCCAGTCACCAGAGGCCACACAGAGGAGGGTTAGGAACGGGTAGGTTAATTAAGTCGCCCGCCACCCCACCCCCCCCCCCCACCCCCTCCCCCGCCTACCTACAGGCTGCACCAGACGTGAAGAAGCAAAACCAAAAGCAAAAAAGGGAGAGAAGGGACAGAGGCTCCCTTGCTCAGCTTTGGCCCTGCATGAGGAGGCAGGCCGCCTAGGACAAGGGGCGGGCCGGAGCACAGCAGGAAGAAGAGGAAAAGTAAAGCAACGGGGGATCAGCACAGAACAGGGAAAAGACAGTACAGTGATTTCTTCTCGTCCAGAGAAAGGGAAGCAGCGGCAAGACAGCGTGCAAAAAAGTGGTTTCATGGGTTTGTAAAAAAACAAGGAGGAGCACCCATGTTTGCCAGGTGCTGTTTTAGAGCTGGGGATATCTCAGAGAGTGAGGTGGACAAAGTTCCCTGCACACGTGGAAACTTGCAACTGGGTGAGTGAACTGATTAGAGTGATTCGGTTTTTGTTGTCTTTTTTTTGTTGTTGGTAACCATCCATCTAGCACTGGCACGCGGGTGGGGGGATAGTGTGGTTTGGGGGATGTGGGGGAGTAGTAGTTGTGTCGTAGTTGGGGAGTTTTTTTTGGGAGTGTCGCTGGAGTGGGGATGAAAAGAAGAAATGAGGGAAAGAGGAAGAAGAGAAGAGGGTGAAAAGAAAAAAAAAAGGGAAAGGAGGAAGAAGGGGAGAGAGGAAAAGAGGAGAAGGAAAGAAGAAGAGAAAAGAGTGAAGAAAGAGAAGAAGAGGAGGAAGGGAAAGAAAAAAGAAAGGTGGGAAAAAAGCAAAAGAAAAAGAGGAGAGCCCCCGGGACCGAACCGCGTTCAGTCACTGCCCTCCTGGAGCTCTCAGGTCTGGTGGTCACTATGGAAGGCAAAGGATACCTGGAGCTTCCGTCTGTTTGGGGTGGGGGATGGGGGGGAGAGCCCCGGGCTGTGTGTCCCGCTGAGGGGCGGATGGAAGCCCCAGAGATGAGAGCTCTGAGGAGCAAATCTTCCCACACACCCATTCAACTAATAAAAAGAGACTTTGACCCTCCCCTCACCTCATATCTCAAGATAGGTAAGAACAGCATGTCAAGGTTCAGCTCGGAAGGTGTGTGATGGGATCTGGGCACGGCTGGATGGGGCGAGGAGGTGCAGGGGTCCCACTGGGTCAGGGCTGGGAGAGGTGCCATAGCAGGGAACCGTGCCTCACCGAGCCTCAGTTTCCTTGTCTGTAAAATGGGTTTCCTGCTTTAGGAACACTTTGGGCTCTTTGATTCTTTTCCCATGATTCACAACACACTGAGCACCCTCTCTGCGCTCGAACCTTGTTCTGGGTCTCTTTCTGTAAGAGGCCGGATGGTCACTATCTTAGGGTTGTCGGAACGGCACAGCTGGGCGGGTGCGGGGTAAAGCAGCCCAGCTCCACGTGCAAGTGGAAGGGCTTGGCTGCGTCCCAATAAAATGAACCGGGTAGTAGGGTTGTTTTCAAGGGCTTAAAGCAGTCCTTGGTATAAAGTAAGGTGCCTCGGGCAGCCCGGGTGGCTCTGCGGTTTAGCGCCACCTTCGGCCCAGGGTGTGACCCTGGAGACCCAGGAACGAGTCCCACATCCGGCTCCCTGCGTGGAGCCTGCTTCTCCCTCTGCCTGTCTCTCTCTCTCTCTGTGTCTCTCATGAATAAATAAATATAATTAAAAAAAAAAGAAAAAATAAAGTGCGGTGCCTCATGAATGCTTGTTGCCCGCCTGGAATACAGCAGGCACTGCGCTAATGCGTGGCCCATGCATGGTTTACAGAAGGCACACCATAATGCTTTTGCCCTGTCTGGTATGCAGCAGGTGTGGCCTTAATGCTTGGTCCGTGCCTCGGGGGGAGGGAGGTGCTGCCCTGGTGCCTGGGCCGCATCTGGTGTCCCGCAGGTGCTGCATTAATGCCTGGCTTACAGTAGGCTCTCCATGAATGCCTGCTCCGAACGCAGATGGAGCGCGTATCCTGGCAGAGGGCAGGCCCTGCACGAACGCTCTGTACGGGGCGGGCATACAGCAGGCGCTGCAGCGGTGCCGGCTCACGCCCGGTTTACAGCAGGCATTCCGTTAATGCTTGTTTCCTGCTTGGCACAGAGCAGGCGCTGCATCAGCGCTGGACTCCGGCCCGGTATACAGGAGGCGTTCCCTTAATGCTTAACGGATGACAGGAAGATTCGTTTCCGGCCTGGCATTGCCTCCCGGGAGACCGCGAGGGCCGATGCCCCACTGTGTGGCGGGGCGCGGAGCTCCCGCAGCCTCGCCAGCCCCGCGGCTGCCGCAGCGGCGGGGTCCGCACCTCTCGCGGGGGGGCCGAGCCGGGCCGAGCGGGGCCGAGCGGGGCCGAGCGGGGCCGAGCGGGGCCGAGCGGAGCCGAGCGGGGCCGAGCGGGGCCGAGCGCGGCCCAGCCTGCAGGCCGAGTCCGCCACATTCCCACAATCCCGGGCGGCCCCGCCCGGCTCCCGGCTGCGCGTCCCCCTTCCCACGTCGGCGCAACCTAACCCGCGGGCGCGCCCGCCGCCGCAGGCCCCGCCCCTCCCGCGCGTCGCCCCGCCCAGCGCCGCCGCTAGTCCCGCCCCCTCAGCGGGCGCGCGGGCCGCCGCCTCCTCCCATTGGCCGCGCCGCCCGCCCGTCGGCGCGGTCCCGGCGCGGGTTAGGTTGCGCACCGCTGTCGCTTGGTCGCGGCGGCTGCGGTTGGCGGCGGCGGCGGCGGCGGCGGCGGCGGCGCGGGCGCAGGGCGGCTGGGCGGGAGTGCGCGGCCGAGCGGGGACCGGCGCTCGCAGGCGGCCGAGGCGCACCGGCCGGCCCCGGGGGGCCGAACGCCGAGGGCCAGGCGGGCGCGGCCGGGGCGGCGGCTGCGGGGCCAGGGCCGGGCAGGGGGGCGGCGGCGGCGGCGGCGGGGGCGGCCGGCGGGCGGCCGGGGCCGGGACGATGACTCTGGAGTCCATGATGGCGTGCTGCCTCAGCGATGAGGTGAAGGAGTCCAAGCGGATCAACGCCGAGATCGAGAAGCAGCTGCGGCGGGACAAGCGCGACGCCCGGCGCGAGCTCAAGCTGCTGCTGCTCGGTGAGTGCGGCCGGGCCCGCCGGGCCTCCGTGCCCGCCCCGCGCCCCCGCCGGCTGGGGGTCCGCCCCGCCGGTGCCGTCCAGGTCGGCGCTGCCCGCGCGCGGCTTCCGGGGTCTCGGCGGCCGCCCCTGCGGGTGCCCGGGCCTGGCGGGGGGCGCCCCTGCACCCTGCTCGGCCCGGGAGCCCCTGCCCCCCCAGGCCCTGCGCTGCCGCCTGGACGCCCCTCGCTGCCCGCATCTGTCGAGGCCCGGGCCTCCGCGGCCCTCACCTCCCGGGGTCTCGCCTTGGGCCTTCCCAGCAGGCGGAGCCCCGTCCCTCCCACGTGCAGGGCCTGTGCCCCCCTCCGCCGCCCCGTTCCCTCCGGGATGGGGTGCACGCCCGCGGGCGGAGACAGCCTTTTCCTGCCCTCAGGGCTCCTGTTTTAGGCGCAGGCCTGGGTGGAGGCCCTGCAGGAGCGTTCGCAGGTCCTCCCAGCTCGGCTCGGCTCACCCCCCTCCGCCAATTCTCTCCTCTCGCCTCCGCGGGGGAGCCGCTCTCCCAGGTCCTCCCCGTCCTGGAGAAGATCATGTCCCCGACCGTCCCGTCCGGGGCTGCATCTCCCCCAGGGCACACCTGTTGTAAGGAGCCAGGCTGCCCAGCTGTTAGCAAAGTGCTGTCACCCAGGGGGAGGGAGGCCGGTTGAAGGACTCCGCCGCCAAAGGCAGGAAGGTCGTTTACAAAACAGAAACCCTTGCCCTGCCCGGCTCCTGGGCTCTGCTTCATTCCCGCACTGCAGGGAAGGTTGGAACGCCTTCCGCGGAGGCAGCTTGGATGGGCCCAGGGCGGGCGGAGGCGCTGTCACGGAGGGGCGCGCTCCAAGGGCGGCGGACGGTTTAGAGGAGCCGGGTCTGCAGGTGCAGGAGCCCCGTCGGTGGCCCCGTGGGAGGCCCCAGGTCTTGGTGGGCACGCATTGCTTCTCCTGCCTGCAGTGGCCCTACTGGGCCCTGTTTGTTGAAATACCTTCCCTGTTTGTTTGTTTGTTTGTTTGTTTTACTAACACGTTTTGGTTTGTTGAAGAGAGTATAAAAGAGGCCAGCTTTGCAGAAAAGACAGGCAGGGAGCGACCTTTGCGCCTGGGGGAGACTTGCAGTGGGTTCCGAGGGGCGTCTGGGGGGGCAGCGCGGCGCAGGCTGGTTTTGCAGTGTGCCGCAGACTTTATAACGGGAGGGGGACTTTAGAAGTTATTGTCACGTTAACGATGTTGCTGGCCGGCCTTTGCCTGGGGGCTGCGTGACCCCTCAGGGGCGCCCGCCACCCGTCACCCGAGGTTTGGATTGACGATGGGGTTCAAGGAGGCAGGGCAGCAGCTGAGGTTCTGCGGCCTTGGTGTGCGTCTGCAGTCTCCCTGGGTTGGGAGACCCAGCAGGGCCACCTGCTGAATGTGTCTGGTGCCTGCCTGTGGGCAGGGGTGTCGGCAGCAGGAGTACCTGTCTGCAGTCCCACACCGCCACCGCCCTGTGTGACCCTAGAGAGGCACCCAGCCCCTCGCCTGCCCCAAGGGGCATCATGCACCTGTTTCAGGGGGTCGTTAAGTTCTCAGTATGGGGGGGCAGATAGGAAAACGAGGAAGGAGTGAGCTCGCAGGTCCAAAGTGAAGGTCTGGTGGGAGGACAGCTGTCCCTGCTCGTGGCTCGGTGGGGGTGCAGGGCACATGCTGGGTTAGGCTGAGGAGCATCCCTGGCCCGACCCACTCAATGCCAGGAGCATCGCCAGTCATGACCACCACGGACGGCCGCAGATACCGCCTGGTGTGCCTTGGAGGCAGAATCGGCCGTTATCCACCGTTCGGGTCCTGCCCCCACCCAGTGCCCCGGGCAGAACACGGCGGCGGCGGGTGCACGGGTAGAGCTGGGGTGTAGTCAGCATGAGTGGCCTTGTCCGCTGTTCCACGACTGCCTACGAAGCGGGTGTTCTCGTGCGTGCGGCGGAGAGCCCTGTGTGTGCACCCGGTACCCGACGTGCGCGTGGACGTGGGGAGCGCCAGCCTCTGGCTCCGTGGGCACTGTTGCTCCAGGCCGTGTTCTCGGTAACGTCTTGTCTGCCGGGGCACGGGGTAGAGGGCACGGCTGTGCGGCCCACGCTCCCTGCCAGTCCCGGGCTCCGCCGTCCCGAGGACGCGCTATGGTTCTCCCGTTTGCTGGAACAGAACCCCGAGGTCAGGGGGCTGCAGACCCAGTTCGGAGCTCTTGGGGCGGGGGTCCCAGGCGGGCCCCGCTGGCCTCTGCCTCCCGTGACCTTCTGGGCAAGTCCTTTGCTGTCGTGTGCCGGTCACTTGGTAGAAAACCACGGAGGAGGCCCCTCGTCTGTTCCTCAGGGCAGGTTTCCTGTTTGAAAGTCCAGGTCTTTCCTGGGAACCCTGCTTGCTGGAGGTGCAGCGTGCTGGCCTGGCCGGGCCCGCGCGGCTCTGGGATTTCTAAATAAAGCAGGGCGGTCAGTTCCACAGGCTTCCTGTCGGCTGTGCCGGCCCCCAAAGGGCAGTGAAAAGGCCCGGAATCTGGCCTGGGGTGTGGTGGCCCTGGTGGGAAGGGCGCGCCTCCCAGTGCTTTGAGGTGAAGAGTGGAGCGTGGCCACTGGCTCCTGGCGGAGTCGTCACGCTGCGTCCCCTGCAGCCCCGGACAGCGGGAGCACCCGTGGGTGGGCTCTCGTGCGCCCCTGGGCTACCCCTGACCCACCCCGGGAGGTGCCTTATGCCCCTTAAATTTCCTTTTGCCGAAAGGGTCTGCTTTCTCTGGGCGCGGCCCCTGGGCAAGCTGCGGGAGCCCAGAACGGCTCTGAGCCCTCCCTCTCCCTGTTTCCCTGCGCGTAGCGGGAGGACCCAGTGCCTGGACGAGGCTCTGTCTCCCCCTAACCGTGGGGCCCTGGAGCGTGGCCGCCAGGTGTCCCCATGGCTGGGGCTGGGGCTGGGGTTGGGCCCGGCCGCCTCTGAACTCCCATCCGCACAGATGATGGCAGAGCGTCCAGGCTCTGCTCCCTCCCTGCTGGTCGGCTGGTCGCTGCGGTGGGACGTGAGGAAGTGTTCTGCCTTAGATATTTAACCACAAAAGGTTTCACTTTCATATTTTTGTGGTGGAGCCCTGCTCCGTGCAGCCCCGGGAGCACGGCCACAGGCATCGCTGTCTGTGGCACCGGGTGTGGAGTGGCGTGCAGCGAAGCCAGACGGAGCTCAAACGAGAACTCGGGGCGGGGGAGGGGGTGTTTGTCCCTCTGCGTCCCAGATGGCGCTGGGTGCAAAGTTCAGCCCCGGTGGGCGGGGTGGACGGAGCTGGATGCAGTCGGGAGGAGCGGTGCCATCTCTGGTGCCCTGCCGGGTGCTGCTGTCCGGGCCGGCAGTGCGGGCCTGTTACCTGAGGACAGCCGGCCTCAGTGGCTGGCTCACCTGGGGTCCCCCGGGCCCCCTGACAGCAGGGGAGATGAGGGGCGCTACCCAGGCTCACCTGGGGGCCCACGGAACCGGGATCCCAGGCCTCAGGCATGCCGGTTTGGGGAATGTGTGCCACCACTCACAGGTGTCCCCAGTTCCCGGGGCCCCGAGCCTCTCTGTCTTCCTGGGGGCCCACTGTATCTGTCCTGTGTCCGCCATCAGGGCAGTCATCCTGGTCCCGCGTGTGGCAGCTCACCCGCCCTGCGGTCTCCTTGTTCCCCACCTTTGGGTCCCCACCACCCTGGCCCATGAGGCAGAGCTGCCAGCCTCAGAAATGAGGATGGGAGTAAGTTGTCGCCACCACGCATGTTGCCCTCTGCTCTGTGAGTGGACGGGGACTCCAGGGGACAGCTCACGGTTGCCTTTCTCGTGAGGCCCTCCTGCCAGTGGGCGTGGGGGCCTTGCTCTGAGGGCTCCCCGTGGAGCTGACGCTCGTTTTGGGGTGAGGCCGTGTCTCCCATCCTCACATCCTTGTCCGACCAGTGGGATGGGGCCCTGGGGCCCGAAGCACTTTGTAGGATTAAGCGTGAGGATGCCATGAAGGCCCTCGGCACACAGCGGGCACACAGCGGGCACTCAGCAGGCAGAGGAGCTGTTTTGTCTCGTCACTACTCTCCCTCCTGGATGCTTTGCACAAAGTCGGGTGTTAACGCAGCTGCAACAGCTCTGGGGGGTGCACGTCCCCACCAGGACCGAGCTGGAAAGTGCTGGAGCGGGGTTTCTGTCCCTGTCTGACCTCCCCGAGTCTGGGTTTTCTCTTCTGTGAAGTGGAAATAATCACGGAGGTCTCCTAGGATGATCGTGAGGGTCAGGGGGGGGGGGGGCGCCACCAGCATTGTCTGTATCCGACCACATCGGCCGCCCCGTCGGCTGGTCCCCGTGCCCCTGGCTCACAGGCGCGGCTCTCCGGAGCTTGGACCTCAGAGGTGGGGGAGCCTCGCTTGCGCCCCGTCACCTTCCCTGCCAGCAGCTGGTGGTGCTGGGTGCACGGGGCGCAGCGTAAACACCGGTGCTCCGGCGGGGCCCGGCGGGAACTGCCCTCGTGCCGGCCGGGGCTCCGTGGGGGGGGGCTTGGGCCGCTTCCGAGGCCCTTGGGGCAGGAGTGTCCGCGGAGGCACCTGGGGCCCCTGAGGCCCTGGCGGCCTCTGTCCATTCATCCGCGCCTCCGTGGAGGACGGGTTGGTGAGCTGCGCGGGTGGGACTGGGCTCACGGCGTCCTGACTATCAGGGTGCCCCGGGAGGGCCTACGGTGAGACTCAGCACGCTGGGGACAGCAGTGTGACTGAAGGACACCCCCTTAGTCCCCAGGGACGGCCAGTCCCGCCTTTGGGCCTCAGGTGACTGGGCGTTGTGGCGCAGCGGCGGGTGGTCCGTGCCTGCCTCTCGGGGGCCCGCTGACCGCCCGGGCATCGGGCTTGCCTCCCTTGGCAGCGCGGGAGCGCCCGCCGAAGCCGTGGAGCCCCCGACCCTCTGTGCTCTCTGACACCTCCCCAGAGGCTGTGGTGATAGTTGTCACTGAATGAATGAGTGAGTAGGGGTG